TGGCCATATCATTTATTAGAGACAAAATCAACCACGTCTCGCTATGTTGACAAAGCCTTTCTTATCTGAAGTTGTAAATAAGCTAACATGACCAAAAAACAATTCGTGCATATTTCCGACGTGAATTCGCCAGTAGAAATCAAGCAAATCAAGAGATTTAAGCAATGAATATCATGAGACAAATTTAGCTCTTTAAACATTGAAGCATAAAGGCTTCTACAGGAAGTTAAACAAAAAAAAGAAATCCTGAGTGCGCGGAGGATAATATGTGTGTACTAAATGCACAACCTAACTTAAAAGTTCACAAATTTTGCGCACTTCATGAAAATCGTAATTATAATTACGTAATTATAAAATACCCACGGAAGCCAACTTTCGTACGAGAAAAGTCGATTCAAATAGTGCGATTTTGCATTTTAAAGCACTCAAAATTAGCTTTAACCAACAGTTAGCATCTTAAGAAAAGTATTTGCAATTAATGAGAATGAAATTCCCACAGACTCGAAACTGCTTGGGACAGTAATCTTTGCAATTCAATTTCATTTTTTTTTACACAGCAAATGTGACCCACCTACCTGCCCATATGCTCATATGCATCGTGAAATATACTTTTTGACTAAATTTATACTAAGCATATAATTAATAATTATAAGTAACTCTGAAAAACTTTTATATTATTATCTAAAAAATTTTGAAATATTAAATTCCACCCAAATTAAGGTCAGTAATAAGCAGATATTACGAACTGTTCATAAAACAATTCAAAGCCAACACTAATAAATTATTCTGGATGAGTAGTTTCTATTCGTTCCGCTTTAATAAACGATTAATAAACCGAATTAAATAAAACCATTTTGCTACTTTGGAGGGTACACAAAGAAACGGTACGTTTTTACGATTTATTGCATCCGTTCGAGTGACAATTACTATTTGGAATATGATGGAACATGAGGAGGTTAATGCTTCAAAATTTAATTAAAAATATAAATGAAGTAGAGTATTTTCGGTGAAACCCATTTAAAAAATCCGTATCTATTAGTACAGTACTGATGAAATGATAAAGACAACGCGTTGAGTGCGTAAAAATTGTTTTAATCTCAATGCATGACTTTAAATCGCCGCCTTAGAAGCATGAGGTAGTAAATTGAATAGGGGCAGCAGTAAAGAAGCATATAATTAAGTCAAAGAATCGCGAGTTTTGTTTCAATTACATATCTCTTTCCCCCTTTCGAAAAGCTAAATAAAATTTTATTATTTGGGTGCTTCTAAACCAGCATTAGCGGGCCTAATTTCATGGTTTCTAGGGTGGGTATATGACTGCGGTATTACGGGCTGGTTGATTTGAAAATAACTAATAAAATGTTTTAACTACCGTAAGCTTGCTGTGCGCGGTTATTAGAAGTGGTCAATTCTTCTAAATGAAGTTAAAACTAGTAAATACCCTAATCTCTGAATATCGTGGTCATAAACGAAGTTTGGTTCTATGGCGTCCAATCCAGGACTCTAAAACTTGATTACTCTAAAAATTAAGCACCTTGCCGTTCTTCTCTTTTACTTTCTATTTCTCTCGGCTTATCAAAACCGTAATTTTTTTCAGTTCAATGGGTTAAAATATGAACTGATTACCGAAAATTAAAATATTTTGTCTTATTGAAAAAATTGCACTACTTGATTGCAATGCCTAGGAAATGCTTAGTTCTTATTAAAAAATGTAATTCTGATAAAATGTGGTGACGAAATGAAATCGTGGAGCGCAATAGTTTGATATGACGTATTTGAAGAAGTCCTCAATGTTACTGCTGTAGAAAGACAATTTTTGATTTGTCTCTCAGAATTTTAAAAGCCATTTTTAGGTTCAATATAGCAACCTTGGCGTACAGTTCCAGATTCTATTTTTCTCCTAAAAGTTATATTTCATAAACATCTTACTAATGCCTAATTTAAAAAGCAAAGAAAAATATTTGATTTCAATATGATTTTTTTGATGAAAAAATCTTTAATTAATTTCTGCTAATACCAGAATGGTTTTTTAATGAATTGTCTGAATAGCATTACAGATGTTACTTTTATAAACAAAATGCCATATTGGCAAAATCGGTAATTACATTTCTTCATCATTTCAAATTAGATCTTGAGTATATTAAATACTATCCCTTTGGTGATAGTGAAATTGTTTGCAAGAATTTAATAATTGCTCTTGTTTTGGGGATATGGCTGATTTATCATGCTCTGCTGAAAGGAATCCGTGTTTCTAGAGAATTGTAAATTTAATTTGGATTCAAATAAATTTAACAGGAAACAGAGGTAATAACAACAGTATGGCAAACTAGATCGCACCATTTCAGGCAGTCAATTTAATTTATAACTTCTTTTTGATCTGGGTAAATATTGCTTTAAGGTTCACTGGATGAATCCTTTGCTATTTCTCTAGCTCAATTTTAATAACGCAAATTACAATTGAGGAAAGGTAACCATAAAAACATGATTTATCATGAAAAAGGTGAGAGAAATTAAAGTACTATTAATGGAAGGACATGTTGTGGCATCACATTCTAATGTATACAGCAAGTTCATTAACATATCATGGAGCCATGCTTATAATCGACTGAATTTTATGCCGACATTTTTAGCAATAAACCTAGTTTCGGTCAGATTTGGATGCTCTTTAATTGTTTAAACTGAAATCGACTTTGAAGTTTGGGAGAATTCACTGTGTCTTAATTACGCTAACATCAAACTTAGGCCCCATGCAAAACATGCTCAATGATATTAGTTTAGTTGAGATTTAGAATCATTTTTGCAATTTTATAATACTTTCCTTTGGCCCAACTATTGGAGGCCAGAAATCATAACTTTGGTGAAGTAGGCCACAATCGGAACTAAAAATTCTAAAGTTAAGGAGAAGGATTAGACGAGTGTCAACTCACTTCCAGAGAGAGGGAGAGAGGGGGGGGGGGGAGAGGAAAGGCCTACGACTATAAAACGATTTTCCTGCTCAATGAGTTCAATAATTCTAGAACTCATACTAATATATGAATTTTCCAATCATGTTTTTTTGTGGAAGATATTAACCTGATGGGCATTTAAGTTAAAATATGACAAAAAATTGTTTCATGACTTGTCTGTGAAGTCACGTTTACAAGGGTAAACCTAAGAAGGTACTCACCTCAGTTTTTATTTGAAGAAAACCTTGTTACCCTCATACAATTTATTTTGCATAAGATCATAGTCACGTTCTACCAAGACTTAAGCGTAGCTTCTCTGGAATGTTCACGTGTTTTCAACTTAAGTAATTAAATTCTACTTACTCTCGCCTAAGAATGTGGACAGTAAAGCTGATTCTTTCCTAGTTATTGGACAATGCGGCTGTGTATTACAGTTCTTTTTTCTCCCTCAGTTTCAGATAGTACTTGACTTTTTAAAAGTGTACAAACGGCAAATTAACTGATCCTTGTTGACGCTCTAAGATAGCTTCAGCCATGGTATAATATGCCTTTACAAGTTTAATTTGGCTGGTGAAATTTTAGTGAATCTTATTTGGATATTTAAGTTAGAGAAAAGAATGATTATAGTCTGACATAAGAAAAATATGAAACACTCCTATTCACCCAGGCGGATGGGCTCAACACAATTCAATTTCAACGAGTCAAAAATACCAAAGTTGGTACAAAATGAAAGAGAGTTCGACTTCCGTTTCAAGTATTCGCTAAACGCAAACTTTGTTTGAATATCTGCAACTCTGCAGTTATGAAAAATCAAGATCTACTTCGCTTATGGTGGATTGGATACTCGTTTACCACTTAAGTTTGGGATTACGCGTAGGCAACACCCCAGAAATGATAAAAATCGTTAAAAATACCACAACTGCTGACTATGAGTAGACCGCATTAGTTTTAGTAGGCGGAATATAAAGTACCAATTGCGGTATACAATTCTACCTCATTACTCGCTGCAAAAGGTTCGAACCTTCGAACGACGTGAGCTATCAATGAATTTCATGGATGCTGTGAATAGGCTTAATGGTGTTAATAAATAAGGTTTTTTTTAAAACAATAGTTTCCGTTATGATATTTGGAAAAATCATTGCAAAAGTGTGGTGGTGGAGATATGATCTTGGAGGAAAATAAGGAGTTAAAGGCTACAAATGATACCTGAATCATTTAAATTGAATTCAAAGTTAAATTCATCGATAATATTTCCTTTCATCTATCTCACACCCCTCCCCCTTTAAACATTTTATTACATTTAAAGCAGAAGGAAATGAAGCATGAACGTATCTGCTGATCGTTACAACTGAGATGCCACTGATCTAGCCGATGCTGTAGATCAGTGGTTTCTTTTCTGGAAACGTTCACATATAATTTACATCTCAGCACTTCGCCCTTTTTTCAGCAGACCTCCAGTAAAGTGAAAATTAGTGGTTTAAAAGCCAAAAAATAATGATCCTAGTCACTGTTCATGTGCGGAATAGTACGAGATTAACTGGGAGAGCGAGGGAGAGAGGGAGGGGGGGGGGGGGAAGCCAGAAATAACAGTAGTCTTCGACGGGAAATAATAACGATTCTAAAGTCTTTATAAAACAACTCTTCAAAATGAACTCTTTGACTGAAGACAATATCGCTAATTGGTGGCGCACAATGAATTCAAACATTCTCATTTTATCAAAAATAGTAAAATTCTCATACGCGTGTGTGCTACTAAATAAGTTGGTAGTAAAATATAGTGCAATACGTGTGAGAAAACAATTCTGTTTTCTTCATCAAATGTTTAAAAGACTTTATTAGCTATTTACAATTACAAGCGACAAAAAAGTTGCGTGAAGTTGAGTTGGGGAGATGGAATTCAATAGTTCATAACACTTCATGAATTTGCACTTTTACAATCCGGAAAACACTTTACTTTTGATTATGATGAAGTAAAATGAGAAGAAGGTTAAGTTTTAAGAAGATTTCGCTTTTATTCTGAGGTGATCTTCGAAATCGCAGGTGGAAGAGTCAGATTCAATTTTGAGCAGTTGGACTGACATTCTTCTCTAAAAATAAAATGAAAATAAGATGCTATTGAATGTCATTAAGTAGTATTATACATATTTATAACCCACCTCGTGAGGACATTTGTTGACAGTTCTTTAAGAACATGTCCATATTTTCATATCGCAACATTTTAACCGGACTATTTTTGAAATCATTCGAGTTGAAAGAGGAGAAATTTAAATTTGATTGGCTTGTTAGTCGAGGTGGAGGAGGAGGCGGGACAGTTTCTTCAGGACTGGGTAAGGCTGGAGCGGATTTTTTTTTATTATATCCATTAACATCCTCCTCCAAAATACAATTAAGTGGGAGGGGTCGATCCTCACCTTCCACATACACCTGGCTATTGAACTTAACTCGTGCACTTCGCTTCACCTTTGGAGCATTGGGATCTTTGAGTCTACTGACAAGGACATTCGACACCGGGAGACGCAAGGGTTGAGGTAAATTCGCTGTTGTGTTGGGAATTTCCGGCGGTTCTTCTGCCAACGCAGAGATATCGGGAGGTTCAAGGGTGGGAGTTGTATTACGATGTGCTCTACGAGAAAATCCCTCTGGCCATATTGGTGCAATGTGGATACCATTGAGAAGAAGGGCTTTGGCTAGACCTTTAAATACGGGTGGATCACGGAAGACACGTTTCCTTCTCTCACGCAGAGCTTCTTGAATCTATATGGAAAAGAAAGTATAAGCACGCTAAGAGATGAAAGCGGATTTAAAACAACCCCCGCATCTGTTTGACATGGCAAATTGTAGTGCGCCGAAAGAGTGTGCATGAAGCTACCTTGAGTGCTTCTTATTCTCTTGAGAGTCTTTTCAAATTCTATTTATTGATCTGTGTTTTAGCATTGAACTAGATTTCCAGTGCAAAAACATGGCGATTTCTCAGCAAGCAGGTACCCGGATGAATGACTGTTAGAGAAGCAATAGTATATGCTTTACCCATACAAAGAACTTAACGTGACACAAATTGTAAGCAAACTGTGAAAGATAGCCTCGTAATAACCAACCTTGAGAAAACAGATAAGGTCACAGAAGAACGTGGAAAATTCATTCAATTTGAATTATAGAAATGATAGGAATTAAATCCAAACATATTTTGAGTGCTAACTTAAATCTAAGTGGAATATCTTGTGCCAATAATCATCTGGGATTGGAAAAAATAACGTTCAGTGGTAGAAAACCAGAGATTCGAGCGAAAATAAAGATAAGATTTGTAGATTTACTGCGAGTATCAAAAGGCCTGATCAAGTCAACTTACTCATATATTAAGGCAAACTGTAATAGTACTCGTCCATATATAAGAGTTTGTTCAGCCAAATAACTTCTCCACGTACTTTTCTCATATACTATCGATTCACCGTAGTTTGGGTGTACCAACTTCGAATTACCATTTAAAATGGTCTTCCCCCTTTTATGATTCTCACCAGAAACATATTCACACGAAAAATTATATATATAAGAACTTGGGCCTCCAGTTTTTCATGTTTTTCCTTTTCTAGTCCGGAATAATTGAGTTATATATATATATATATATATATATATATATCAGTTCGTTGCTTAACTATCGGCCAAATCCACGGATCTGAAATTCAAATGATCCTACAATAAGAATCTTTATCTCCAGATTTGATTCGACCTTTCTGCCACTCCATCATCCATAATATTATGTTATTATTGCCCTTGGTAAGACGATTTATCATGATCAAATAAATACGTTTATGAATAATAGAATTTGTTCAAGTGCATATCTGACATACCTCTATGCTACGCATTCGTTCATCGTGATCAGGTTGTAGAAGTCGGATAGTAGCCATTAGTCTCTTCCTTTCAGCACTTCCACTATCTGCTGCCATTGGATTCAAGATTCCATTAATTAAACGAAGACGCTGAAGATGTTGGTCATTTTGACGCGAATTCGCATTCACCTTGGCCAACCTTGATATAGTTTAAACATACTACTTATCAGAACATAAGTAGAACAAAATATTTAATTATGAATACTAATCTGCCTGGAGAAGAAAGATGGTCAGAAATTAGGGAGGAAGAATGATGAATTTTACCAAGCATTATAAGCATAATTGAGGGATAAAATGCCACAAAAGCTACCAAAATGCATTGGAATAGCAGCCGTGTAAAACTTTGAACCAAAATCAGGATTCATCATAATTACTCAATAAAAGTTTATTGGCTGGAAGTTGCATCGATCCGATTCACGGATTATTACTAAAAAAATTGTAACACTGCATTTAATCAAAAGCTAATAACTCAACCCCACTGTAAAACGGACAATTAAGTTAACAATGGAAATCAAGGCCAAAACTAAACGGCATGCGAATTATTTATTTACCTAATTTACTACCAATTTTCTTTGCATTCATGAATGTTTTACCAATCCATGTCAATATGACAAATCAAAAAAACTCCAATCTAATGACCTTGAAAAATAGGTGGAGCTACCAAAGCCCAGCTATTGTGTTATAGGCATTTTGCCAATTTCTTTTTAAGATCGGAATGTACTCTCATAGCTCTTATCGGTGATTGACAGTAAGGCAGAAGGATAGTGGAACTACGATATCATGAAAGCATATAAATTTAACATTTAGCCATAACAGCTATCATTCTAAAATTTCTTTATTTGAGTATTGAATAGTGAAAGCTCCAGTCATCTTAAGTCTTACCTAGATTGTTTTTAAATGTTCCAAAAGTTAACGTCTCTAAGCAATTTGTAGGGACATTGCCGTGGGCTCTTATTGAAAGGCGCACCTCAATTTTGCACTAACTTGATCAACATTCAAGTTTTAAAATCTTACCAAAATAAATCTACAATATCAATTGATTTTGTGAAAAATAAAACAATTTGAAACCCTAAAAATCTAACAATTTGTAAAGTTTCAATAAATAATGAAAGATTGTCCTACTGTTTCAATACAAAGGGTAAATTCAATTAGTACAAGGTGATGTAATTCAAGGTACAAGGACAAAAAATTGTGAACAGGAAAATCTGCTTTCAAGTCCTACAGCATGGGAAGTTTGCATTATTCAAATAATGAAGTCTCATTTTCCTACCGTTTCAAAGTCAGAATCGTTCCATTTAATCTTGCGCTGCGTTCACGAAGATCAGCTAATTGCTCTAATTGTTCCTCCAGAATTCTACAAAATTTCAGTAAACGAAGCCATTTACAAACCATTTTTCCACCCATATCTTAATAACGTGCAATTGATATTCAACTTAAGCAATATTTTGTATTAAACTAGGAGATAAGACCTGCTTCCTACTAACTAATACTAAGTAGCAATGTCATACCTTATTTCTTGCTCGGCAGAGTCCATTTCGTTCTCCGCATGTTGCCAAATCGATTTTCTCAAAAGTGGATCGTTTTCTAAAAATCGAGAAAAAAACAAAAGCTAAATCAGCGTCATCAGTGTTAAAAAGGATTTAAGTGCGAAAAAGCCACAAGCGACAGAAAGCAAGAGGGAAAGTTGGGGGTGGGAAGGGGCGAATGGACGTACCACAACAAAATTCAATTGCTGACGTAGCCAATTGCAAACGGTCCTCAAGGGCACTGACCATCTGGAGAGTAATTCGACATCGCCCCTTGAGCACATCATTACCCGTCTCCTCAATTACCCCTTCAAGATCAACTAGTTGACCAATAAGAGAAGACCAGGTGGTTTGGTACGCTGCCAGGGCCTTGTCTAGAATTTGTCTGTCTGAGCGTACCCTATGTATTCTTGTGTCGTAGAAGGGGTGGGCTTGCTGAAGACCCTTTCGACGCTCATACTTCTTTAGCTGCATCTTTTAGTCGGAAATGAGTATAAAATTAGTTGCTCCTGTTCGTGAGAGATCAATTTAGACCAATATAGAACTTACAGCTATCTGTTTCTCGCAAACTTGGATTTCCTTGTCGAATTTGGCCTTCATCTGTATGTACTCATGCTTCAAATCTGATAGAGCAACTCGAACATTCTGAAGTTCATTCTTGAATTGCACAGCGATGGCTTTTTGGGTTCCTTAGGAAGGGTTAAGAAGATATTTCATAAATAATTACTTCCACAGTTGTTCTTATCATATATTACTTATTTGTCAGTAAGCTGATATGACGATATCAAATAATTTCTTTCAAAACGCTGTTTATTGTTCATGAGTACTAGGTAGATTGAATTGCCTTTGTTAATTTTAACGAAAATTCCGTTATTAAGAACTCGTTGTTTTGAACAATATTTTAAAATCCGGTGTTAGGTACGAATTTCATACAAAAGCATTTACTAATTGATACGCAAGTTTGAAAATCATTAATATTATTTGTTTAAGTAAATAGAAATGGGTGTGAAGAGATTGAGTTGAATTAATGTTATATCTTGAGGTCTGTAGTGGTCTTATGGATTAGGTGGTAGAAGATAGACTGTCTAGACTCCCATTATAAGCCATCTCACTGCAGGTCCACCTTTTAATGCTCATCTCTTAAAGGCACAGACAAGTAAATGTTTCCCCCAAACAAGAACAGAGTGTTACTGAATGTCAACATGTGCAGGCGAAGGGAAGAGTCCTGTGATCATATGATGAAAAGTGTGAAGAGTGTACGGGTAAATAGATCGAATTAATAGAAGTGATGAACATGCAGTTTTATTAATATAAATTTATTGTAGGAATTTAAGCCAATTATGATCGGGCAGGTAGGAGTACACAATCAAAATGGAGTAAGGGCATGAACACAAAGAAATTTCATAGGTTCTGGGACGGATGACCTATGTATACAGAACATTCGAAATGGGAAACATTCCAGTTATCCGATGTCTTTTCATTCTTAAAGTTTGTAGCTTACAAAAAATGTTTATTTTTTAACTAATATATGGAAAGACGGAAAATAATGCCAGCAATTTCTTATTTCACATATGAAATTAACTCTTACTAGTCAGATGAATCGATCTTAGAAGTGCGCATTACCTGAAATCTGGGAGTTGAGTCCCATGAGTCGAAAGGCATTGAGGAAGGACTCTTCACGCACACCGGACGATTTCAGCACCTGGAAGAGAGTAACAAGATAATTCACATGGGACTCAGTATCATTTTCTTGAGTGGATGAAGTTCCCCTTTGAGAACAACGCTGATCTCCTAATTGCGACTGACTGACATCTGACGTACTAAAATGAATAGAATAGAATAAAATAAGAAGTTCTAAGACGATATAAGTGAAGTCGGATGACATATCTACCAAAGTCAGAAAAAATTGGAATTTAAAATAAGATCCACAGCGACTAACAATAACCCTGTTACTTCAAAGTGACCGTTGGTTTATCTAAATACGCCTTTATATGCTGTGGTTTAGAACGTTAAGTACGAATGATCAGGGATTAACGAATACCTCAATTAATGATATCAACTAAGTGAGACCATCTATTCCTCATTCGTATGTAATTAAAGTGGAAATACAACATGCAAATACTATTCCTCAAAACGGAACGTATTCAACAACGTTGGCCATTCCATTTGGTTTCCGTCTAAAATTTGTGATTATTTTTGTGTTTCATTTGAGGTGCTGCAATTTACATCACTTCATTATTGCCTACCTTGAGTTGATTGAAACTATGAAAAATTCATGATTTCGCCAGATGTAAATTAGCGTTTCCTAATTTTATATAATTGCAGCTAGTTAGGTGCAATAATTACCAGTATTTTAAAAGCTGAAAAATTTCTCATCTCAATTAAGGTTTGATTCAGCTGGGTGTTTTTTTGAGTGCATTTTTAGATCCTATCTGAATTCAAAGTTCAACAATAGTGAATGGCATTAATGGCAAATGTAAATTTGAGGCAAAAATTTGCCAATTAGGCAATAGTATAACTTCATGACTTTTTAAAAAAACTGTTCCAAATACTTGCCCATTTTATTGAAAAAAGATGATAATAACTAACAATAATGAGCTGAGAGATAGAAACACGAAAATACAAATCTCCATAAAATGTCAACTCAAGGTACTTTAAAAATAAATAAAGCACAGCATTTTTGAAATTCGTTTGATGTATCCCTATTGGACTGTTTCATTGCATTGCGTGCTTGGAAAAGTTTTTTATAATTAGGCATTTCAGAAAATTGTTGCTTACTTGCAATGAACATAAAATGGTGCGTGTGATTACCATGAAAAATTATTTTAATATATATTTATCTTTAGACCAACATTAAGATTGAAGAAATTAATTTTAACAAATTTCAGGATGAAATTTTGAGTAGAATACAATTCGAATTTTTGAATTCGCATTTTTTGATAATCAAATATTTCTACGATATTGAATTAAATTGAGCTGTGATAATTTGCCTAATTAATGTTACGAAAGCGCAGATGCATCAATACACTGCTAAATTTGTTTTTGTTAGATAAAGTTGAGCCCTATCGACAACCTTTTAAATTACAATGCTTAATAAAACCAGAAAATAGATAATTTACAGGTTTGATTGTAAGAAAGGATTTAATTTGATGAGAAAAGCAATAACGATTCCTTTACTCTACATAGGAGTCCAGATTCTGCTCTATATTCGTGCTATCGTAATAACAGAGAGAGGAGAAAATGAAAAACTTGTACAAAGAGAATATCAAGACATCAATGTCAAGTTTGAAAGCGAATATTTCAGCGCTCAAATGAATTCCATAAATTTGACAATTTATTTTAGAGATTGAAATTTCAAATGGCATGCTAGCTTGTGTGTTTGCCCATAATAATGGCAATAACGAATCACGAAAGAGCGAATATGTTTTTGTCAAGTGTGACTTAATTTTTAAAAATAAACATCAAAATGAAATTATTGCTAATTCAAAAAATAATGAAATGATATATTTTAGATTTTTAGAGTCTGGAAATCCTACATGCATTGACAAATGAAAACATCGTGAGCGATATATTTCAGGGATCAAAAGTCAAAAATATTTCTGTGAAGAGCAAATTTTACTAAATTGCGCTACCTCAGAATTAGAATAAGTGGGAATTCGAAGTAATCTAACTGAAAGCACTGAATGATCTCACCTCTATAAAGTCTTTGCTTAATGTAGAGACCAACTTCAAAGGGCCTGATAATTAAAAGAATTAATTTACGACAAACCTTCCGATCATTAGTTTCAGGCTTTACAAACATATAAAAAGGAAAAAACGGTAGTTAAAGTAAAAGGATACATGAAAATTATATTTTACATTGAGAAAAATATAATATTGTTAGTTTAAAATGACTAAAAATTAAAAAATGCATATTCAAATTCAGTAAATGAATGGGTGATTGAAGTTTATGATTGTAAAAGTACTTACCCGAGTTTGTGGTCAGTTCGATGAGTTGCATGTGAAACATCTGGTAACTGGACCACGGTGGAATGATCACGGTTGATTGGAACAATGTTCTGTGAACTAAGCTGCTGTTGTTGGTTTTGGCGCTGTTGCTGTTGTTCGATGAGAGCTAAGGTTGAATGAAGAAAAGTGCTTTGTAGTACCGCGGTGCTTTGATATCACAGGCATGTGATTTTTATTAATTTGTGGAAGAGAATAATTTTTCCCAAATGTAACATTTATATCGAAAAGCCTCAAAACATTTTTTTAAAAAGTAGAAATTATTTGCAAAATGATAAGCGTAAATTAATTAATCCAAGTTAACAAGAATATTTTTTTTTAATTAAATATCTCGATGATCTAACTTAAAAATTTGACAGTTGGATCCCAAAATAATTGCTCGTGTTTTTGGTAATCGGGGTCTAGTTAAATTGCTGGCATAGAGTTGATAACAGTTCATTTATCTCTCCTCAAATTCTAATTTAAATATGCGTGAACACCTTGAATAAATCTTCAATTCTGCTATATGCCATGATTTCAGTAATTTTGAAAACTTACGAAAGCAAGGAAACGTAACTGCGAAATTCGGCAAAGATACGCCTAGCTGTTAATAAATCTCCCTAGAGGAAACTTTCAGACAAATGGAAAAATTGTAAAGTAGATTTGAAATTTACGAATCGTCCTTAATTGATAATGAAAAAACCAAGAAAATATCTCATATTAGGCAATAACCTACCTACCAACAAATTTTAAGATCAACATTTAAAAATGTCTAAAAGACAACATGATCTTATGTGCTCTTAACAAAATCAAATTTCATAAATTAATTTGCTATCATTTATATCTACAAAGGTAGAAAACTTAGTTAAGTAGAGAATTTTTACTTTCAATTAGTCATTAAAACGGGGAATAGAGAATGTTAACTTCATTGTTGGCTGAAATTGATAGCAATTTTCTAATTCACAATTACTTCCTGCAGTTCTAAAATGGTTGAGATCAATCAGTGCTGCTATTTACATTAAACAAAAGCAATACAATTTACTGTTTAATTGTGCTTCCACTTGAAATTTAGAAATATGATATAAGATACTCAACTAAAATTTTAATATCTTGGTTAAAAGAAACCAACTTTTGGTAAACACGCCAAAAATATGAGTTCAGAGTTGAAGCCGATATATTTTTGTTTGCCAGGTCTGTTTGCATTTGTTTTTGAGATTTTAAGAGATAAAACAGGAGATGCAGCTTTTAATTTTAAGTGAATCTATTTAAACCGAGGTGTGTCCTCGTCAAATGACTTCAAATTCTTGGGAACGTTGAACTCTTAACTTCAATAAGCGGAGAAATCAACTGAGGAAAAAAGTAAGCAGAATTACAAACGAGTTATTGAGTCCAAGAACATGGCGAATGATTAATAATTAATAATTTATTGAGAAACCGCACCAAAAATATACAATTAAGAGATCAAAATGTTATTTACCAACACACGATAATAAATCACACCAACGTGTATTGAGGTAGAAAGTATGCTCACATTTATTATTAATTGAGACGAATTCATTAAGTCAAGGTAAATATACGAATCCTTGGAAGAATTCAAATTCTGATTGCAAAAAAGAGATATCGATATCAATCAACAATAGTTCATTTACTATTTAGAAGTTTGCTAGATCAGTAGTAATTAAAGTTTAAATGAAGTGATACTTCAATGGATATGATAATTTTGTACCGTGGAACAGTGAATAGCGCGCCTAAATGCCAGATCGGAGTTTATGAGGTCGCTGGTCATCAAAGTACTTCCGGTAATGCAACACGCCAAGTCTCCTTAATTTTAATATGTCCAATAAAAGATAGTTGGAAACAGTGCCATCCAAGGACTTAAAAAATTACGAATTAGCAGACAGTATGAGAAATAAATTTCGCAATAATTTAGAAAATTCCTTAGATTTTCAAATTTGCGCGAAAGTTATTCAATAATGAAATAATAAAGAAATGTGGGAATGGGACACGCATTCCTTATTTTAAGGCATATAATTCAACAGGACGATTTTAGTTGAAAATCAAGCAAATCAGACCTTATTGACGGTTCAATTGAATATTTGCTAGTTGGCTGGGTGATCCAAGTGGGTATTCAATTATACTTCTACTTTAATCTATTTCTGTATATGGCTTAAATAACAAATTAATTATTCAAAATGTTACCTTGAATCCACTAAACTAAAGGTGTATTTAAACGATCGTCAAAAAGGATTGCACATTCTAAACAACTTTTGTGCCGACTGAATTCAGCTTATCATAATTACTAGCTCTTCATGCCCTAGTTCAAATAATAAGAGCTAAAAGTCATAAAATAAAATATTGATTTCAACATGAAAAGATAATTATTAATTATACATGGTTATATTTCCTTATCAACTCCTCGTTCCATTTTTAGGGAGCTTATTCAAGTGAAAATGTAGCTTTGGTTTGCTTCCGCTTTCCATTAAAATTTCAGCTGAAGATTTTAATCAAATCTTTAGTGAACAGCTATCCAGAAGTTCTCGAGTACAAATTTCAGCGTTCCTATCATAGAAGAATCCACTTTTCGTTTGACTTGCCCTTTATAGCTCCCTTGGCTCGGAAGTTTTGACTCGTGTGTCTAGAACGGAACACTACACTCGCTATTGAGATCACGTGAAAACATTCCTTCTCCATCTTCTAACCAACCTTCCATTTAGATACTGAATTAGATTCCTTAACTACTATGAGAATCTGTACAGGAGCCTGTTTCATTTTCCTACCCTCCCACCCCCTACTCTTTCTACTCCTCTTTACAGACCAGTCGTGTGGATTCTGCTGCTGACTCCCATTCTTCATTTCATCTCTCTTAGAGCTGCCAATAATTTTTGCCATTTGGCTCAATATCGGCTTAACTTGCCTTATAATGCTCATCTTCCTAAATTCTGGTTCCATTTGCCACATTGTTCCTGTATTTCCTTGTTTATCACTCGAGTTGCAAATCTGAGATTTATACCAGCAAAAGCCTGGCACACCGCAAATCGCCACAAGGGTAGCATTCAATCAGACTTTTGCGCAAAGAAAAAATCTCTCGAGACTACTCCACTCTAAACACGATTTACAAAGATGTTTTCTTCAGATTTCTACTATTTCCTCTCCCCGTTAACTTTGATGTTCAAACTTCTGCATCATTAGCAATATTATCCAAAATAGCCTCATCACTCGCACCGATCATTTTGGGCATTCAGCAACAAACATCAGGTGTAAAAAGGCAGTCAATCACTCAAAATCACCCAAATATCAGAAATTTTAAATTAAACTTCATAATGGCAAAATATTGTAACTTTTAAATTCAATATTGATGCTACTGGCATTGCTAACCCAGCCTTCTTTATAATCTTTGGTGAGAGAAAGACAAGTGATATGCCTTCAAAGGTCAAAAGTCCCCCCCCCCCAAATTGAAATGTTGTATAGTCTTGGGATAAATATTCCTTTAAAATTTTCCTCACCAGGCGTTCTTGAACTCCACAATAAGATTTTAACTTTTCCATCACCTGGGATACAAGTGAGATCATTTGGGAATGCTTTGACTCACCTTTCAAACCATTTAAAAAACGATTGATCTTTTCCGGGTCATAGAAAAGTTCATTGAATTGCAGAATCAGAAAATCTGCAGATGTGTTTTTAAAGATGCATTCAATGTTTCCGTCTTTATGTTCGTAAATGTGGAAAGACGTTCGTGCAGAATTATGCGATTTTCAACTCTTTATTCTGCAATAATTCGAGCGTTTCTATTGTCTTTTAACGGGTAAACTTAATTCTTCTTCAAGGCACATTACAATTCATGAATGTTCAATTGAAAGTATTCATAAATATTCTTAACCTTACTTCGACCATATCCCAACTAATGGAGAAGGGAGAGCACAATTTACCGTTCAAGGGAAAGTTCACTAATATTCGACTCAAACTATTTAGAGTCTGCCAAAAATTATAATTATTAATGTTAAAAATAATACAATAGAAGTACTTTTTAGTAGCAATATCAAGAAAGTGATAGAAACAATAATTAATATTGGCAAGGAAATTGTCTGATGATTTGACATAATTATATTCGTAATGACTACAGATTCCAGCTTCTAATTCAATCTATGGCGATGACAAGCGGTCAATAATATTAACGATAACTTTATGAAAACACATTCACCGTAGAAACAGAATGAAATCTATTTGGTATTGATGAGATGGTGTGAAAAAATACACGGTGGAAAATACATTACCCATTGTTTTCACATATGACATGATATATATATATATATATATATATATATATATATATATAACGGAATAAAGAGTTTACTAAGAAATATAGATTCAGGTAGTCGGAGAATTGATTTTCTGCTTATAACAACTAGTATACATTTAGGTGACGTTGTTACTGGTCAAAATAAAACTTCATAAGCTACCTACGACGCACTATTGACCAACTAGCCTGAAACTCTAAAGTTATTCCTTCTCATTTATGTTCAAACGCTTATTGTAACGAGGAAGATACCTTGGTGAAGTTCGGGCGGACACGTGCAAACAAGTTCTTCAGGTCGATGCCCGGCTAAACCACCTTGAGAAATCGATGTCGTAGTTGCAATCGGTATTCGTTGTGACTGCTGTTGTCCTTGCTGCTGGTGAATGGCTTCAGAGCCGCCTGTACCATGGACATGGGTGTGTGGTGGGACACCAGAACGCGCAGTTGATACTAACACTGCGGTATGAGCAACGACGCCAGAGGCAGTCTGAAAATATTTGCGTAAATAGGTTGGATAGAAATTTCAGCAGATTTTTTCAGCCTAATTCAACTGATTCCACTTATGTGCTATTAGAACTGACAAAGCAAAGTTCATTATGCTTTCATTAATCTTAAGGCAAATGCTACTTTAGTGGAATTTAGATTCTGTAAATGCAATATGGTCAGCTAAAACTTTGTTTAAAACGGGCGTTACCCGATCATTTTTGGCGGCTGTATAGAGACTAAAATAATATCAAATTTGGAAAAGGCAAATCCAAATGAAGAAAGATGAAATAAGATATTATGAATTTATTGAAAATTGCATCAATGCCCCCATAAAATGAGTATCCATCACATATAGCAGCATATCTTTATCTATGTCTGAGCCGGGGTGTGCGATAGACTTACCTCCACGTGGTGCACACTGGGCAACGTATACTCATACGGCAAAAAAGTCTATTAACCGGCAATTGACTTCTGGCTTCTAACTACCACGACTCCCTCCCCTGGTTGTCATATTCGACACCTTCCACAGTATTCCCCTTACCTTTTTCTCTACCTTTGTGTCCGTCTATCTCTTTTACAACTGTGAATCGCTCTTCTGTTCTCCCCCCTGTGAAGCCCGAAGCCAGCTAAATGGCTAATGATATCTTTCAAAACGCCTGTCATTTGAAATAAATAAATAAATGTCTGAGCCATTGTTATCAATGAATTTACGACGATCAAGGCCATAGCCGTGAGGTCTTAAGCCTTATTGTCGCAAATAATTTCGAGATGACCAGACTCCATTACCATTCCGTGGATCATTGATGCCATCTCTAGATTCAATTCCGTAGCTAGTACAAGAATAGTTTAAAAATGATTCCAATGCTAAAAATTTACTTAACGTTAAAGACAAGTTTCCATTTTGCCATAGAAATAGTTGCGGTTTAATTAAGGTTAACTCGTGAATCAATCCGCTACAAGTCGCACCTTTTTCTACCCCTATTTAGCAGTTTTCATTCGACAACCTCAAAAACTTCCCAGCTTTGAGAGGCTGTTGCTGGATTAATTTGATTTCAGTTATTATGAAAGTTGAATATTTAAAGCGTGCACATGTAATGGATTTTATTTAGTTATTTTGAAAATTCTAACAAAATCAAATTAGTATAGTAATAACTCATGTCTGACTTATTGTTACATGAATCAGCGCAAACTGGTCATTGGAAACAAAATTAATTGGATTTACATGCAGACTTTGAAGGAAATCAAGAGTTGTTTCACCATCTGGAATGAAAAAATATAACTTTACATTAATCGCTACGCATACAATGTTGTTAACCAAGCTCTTGACATCTGATTAGACCGCTCTTTGAACTAAAGTGAGGGAAAACCTACTGACTTTAATTCGATTTCAAAATGAAATTACGATATTTTATCGGTGCGTTTGGATCTAATAATATATTTTGAAAAAGAATCAATAATATTATTATTATTACAGAAATCTTCAGAAATAAACAAGCATATGACCCTCACACAATAAGGAACTTAGTCAATGGAAATATTTAAAGTCCGTTTAGTTTAACTTTTTCAGTTATCACTTGAAATTTAGTAACCTAAAAGTCTTTTCCCTTCTTTCCTTTCCCTTCTTTTCTTTGGTGATACAGTGCAAGGAAATTAAATATTTCAAGTAATAAACCTGTGTGGAATGCTGTTGTTGTTGTTGCTGCTGTTGGATGAGTTGTTGAATCTGATGAGGCTGAAGATATGCATGATTGGAAGGAATCGCATAGAGGACCGCCGGTTGGTTTGTACTGTTTCTGTGGTGATCTGAAATCAAGATACGCGTGAGATTTGTGCAGCTGAATTCAATTTCATCGATGCATATTTGTGACCGATATATATATATATATATATAATGTCATTCTGTAATGCAGAAGGTCTGGAGGTGCAAAGACTAGTTGACAACTAAAAGCGACCCGAAGCCTTGTGAGACGATATTTAAGATGCTAATTAATTCAAACGAAGCGCCGAACAGCAAGCGTTCATTTTTGAATGAATAATCTTTTGCTTACTTTGTTAGTTTATAATTTTTGCATATGTATATTAATTATAGACCACGTAATAGTAAATCAAAATTAGGACCCAAAATGTTCTGCACTGCTACAAAAACAACTTTAAGTGGGTTTTATCACAGTTCCTTCACTAACAAAGCCCATAGGGTTAATGAAGCCTTTTTTATGTTATATGGCACATTGGTTTCTTTAGAGAGGTTTATGAATTGTGCTGGATTATGCCCTATTTCGTGGGCAAAACTGTTAGTCGAGAGATCGCTACAGATGGGTATGTCATCTACCTCACCGCGTCTCCTTCATAATTAAGTAGTGTACTATCTCAGCCAAAATAGTGTATAAAAATTGAGATGCTTGTAGTCTGCATCGCCTTCTTAATTTGCTTATTCAATCGTGTAAGACATCGTACCTAGTAGGACTAACTAGATATTTCCATGAAAAGTATTTTATGGCTTATCTTCCAGAACAAAACAAAATCCCCTGTATATTTTTGACACTGCCACCCATAAAAGGCCAATATATATTGCAATTTAATAGCTTGACATCAACGGAACACAATGAGATGCTGAGTAAGACATTGAGCCTACTACCATGGTAACGAATAAGTCTTACCTTAATTGCTCTTAGCATTCAATTCGTCCGCACAATTACTTGATGAATGCGGTTGACAAGTTTTATATTTCTCTGCTCTGAACTAAAAGTTTCATTATTTACCCTCACAGTTGTAATGGAAGGCCTAAATCGCGAACTCCAGAGCCTAGAGGTCAATTAGTTGATTTAAATGGCTGAATGTATTATTTCAAAGCGTTTTTTTACTAATATCTACCATAGCAGAGCAATGACAATTAACAATACCGTCTCTTTGGCAAAGTATAAAGTAAGCATCAAAGATAAATCTGCGAAAGAATTCTAGCTCACAATTTATTTTGTCGTGATTCTCTTAAATGCACACATTATCTCAAGCAATCGTCTGATTCCCCCACGTAGGATGGGCTTGAAAACTGAAGTCGCCTAATCTGTGGAAAAAAATGACTTAACCTCCATGGGGAATAAAATGCTGACAACTACACATATAAACAAAGGGTGTGATTAATGGCTTTTCGATCCATTGTCACAATGACATTTGGATACCGAGAGGGGGGGGGGGGGGAGAGACGGGGTGGGGGAGAGAGGGCGAGTGAATGTAACAAAGAATGGCGAAAAAAAGAAATAGGGAAAATTTGGTCTTCAATTCGATGCCAATTTTATTAATGTTGTAGCTTGCTCTCTTTTTTTCTAATAATGACCTTATTTTATAGTTTAAATTAAGATTACATCTGAATTTTAAAAAGTAGCAACAAAAGTTCCATTCTTTTTAATTTAATTAAAAACAAATGAATTGTCCCCATTTCAAACTATGCTTAATTTTGGAAACATTGCTTTGCTAAACAAAATTGGTCGTTTGCACAGATTTACGCACAATTGGAATGCAATCAAGAAAAACACAAAATTCAGGACGTAGTGGAGATATTGAAAGAAAAAGAAAAGAAAATGAAGATAATACTCTCAAAATATAGCTTTCATTTTTGAAAAAAATAGTTGCTTAAACTCGATAAACAACGAAATAACAGACAAATTAAAGCACTTAAATTGCCGTTGAAACTGTTTTCAGTAGTCGGAAGTGAAATATTGAATCATATCATGAATTTCTTCAAATGGCACTACCAAAATCATGAATACGGGGATTCGAGGATGGAATTACATAATAATTGTTGGTTGTTTTTCATGTGCATTATAGGTGTTCACGCATATCATGTTTTTTTGAAATGACCAAACCCTCTCACTTGGTGATGCTAACGAGAAAATGGATGCTTACTATAACTCAATTGAATAGTGGAAGAGACTAACTTGTGCAGTGGCAATTTACGAAGTTGATCTAAAGCAACACTTGGCTTATGATGTCTGCTCAAAGCCAAATCAAAACGGCAAAAAAGAAACCAGTAAAGGTCAACTTCGCAAAGGAAAGGTTGGCGAAAATTATTAGACATAGGGAAAGAAACCTCCGAGCAAAATGAAGCATCCTAATGAAACAAAACAATCTGGTACTTTTCCGATGGGAAAAGTTGTTGGCAAGATCAAACAGGCAGCATGCAGAATAACAGATGGCTTGACTTGCACACAGTCCAAAGGGCATTGCAATGGCTAAGCCCTGGACAATGAACGAGTGTAGCCAATAATAAGTCAAATGAATGATAGCATTAGGCTTCGGCTCCTGTCACAACTCAGGGAAAAGTCGGGCTATTTTTACGATTGCACCAGTCACAATCGCAATGTTTGTCCTCCAAGTCCCCTTCGCTCACACATCGCCCCATTCCCCTTCAACGCCCCCCCCCCCCCCCCCACCGATTCCCCACCATTTCTATATTTTACCCAGATAAACCATTATGCACGGGACTCTACTGTGAAAGATGCCAAACACACCCTATTCTACAAGAGCTTAGCTAACGGTCAAAAATAAATATATTTTTAAGATCCTTTCAAAGAAATATATAGAAACAGTTAGCTACAGGTTTCGGGGACGGTTCCATGGCCTTAGCATGATCATAACTGCAAAGGGGAGTTATGACAGTTAAGTTTAGTAGTTCTTCACAAATTGCCCTTTTCTTTTTCATCAAATTTCTTTCAAATTTACTCGATTTTTTTATTACCGCCCACCTTTTTTATTCCCAGAGTTGGCAAAACTTACGCCAAATAACTTGAACAACTACCTACACTGTCGGTAGTATGAATGTTCTTAATCATGCCGTTGTCAACCAACGTACTAGAATTAGAAATGGAGTCTAAACCTGAAGGTCGAACGTACCTGATTGGGTTGGTTGGTATGCAATAAGAGTGTAGGTGGAGTTTCCTTGGTGGCCTTGGGCCGCAGCATTAGACGCCGTAGCTGCTTGTCCTATTACTTTAGCTAATTCCGCACGTCGTACACTAGCATACTGCGTTGGCTGGGCCTGCTGTTGTGGCTGTAGTGAGTCAGATATTCGTTGAGCGGGTGGAGAAGTGACATTCAGACGTCCTGTTATGTGGGTCTTTTGAGGTGGAGCCGCGGAAACAGGCGCCACAGCCGCCATTCGCGTCTTTCGTCCTTGACTTGCTGCTGTTGCTGCGGCAACTGTTGTGGACATTGTCCCACTACTCCCAGGGCCCATTGGAATACGGGAAGACGTTGTTCCATTTACTAGAGATGTATTTCGCTTGTTTTCTGTTAGGGATTTTGGAATTGAGGACATTTTATTCGATGTTTGGTTTCTTTGTAACTCCGGAGATTGAAACGAATCAGCAATACTAGAAGCACCTGAGGTCTAAAGGTGAATGGAAGATGATTGAGTTAAGAGTTCAAAGTTGTGGAAGTTCGATGAAGTCCCAGAGAAACAAAAGCATTGTTAGAAATATATACAAAAGGCTGGAAAGGAAAGCGGCCATTAATAAAACTTATTCCCTCAAAAAGTTACTCATAAAATAGTAAAAGCGATTGATCGACATGCTTTGTATTAATTTCGCAGTATGACTAATGGTATTAAAATTTTCCAGAAAAATGTGTAAAGTGTCATATTTGTTCAAGACTCATCAAACTGAGAAATTCGTCACACGAATTCACTAAAGAGAGGATGAATAAAAGCAAAGAATATGTAGACTGTTTGAGCAATTTTTTTTCAGCAGCAATGGAATTTTAGTAATGGCCCTTAAACACGGATCTGGCAGCAAAGCATAAAATCTAAGCAAGTCAAAGAGAGCTATAAGGCCAAAATACCGTTGAATTAATTCGCAAGGATAAAATCTGCTGCAATGCTTTTAGTCAGGCATTTGAAAAGAAGAAAGAAAGGATGACTCAACTTAGAAATGGAAGCATACATAGGTTTTCCTGAAGGATTCACTACTATACCTTTAACATGATATTTTGTATATTGCATCAAAAGCACGCAGTTTACACATGTGGCAAGTCGGTAGATTTTCTTTCATTCAATCGGCATTTGTTTAACTAGTATGAGGATAAATTCCTCCTCACTTTCCAATATAACAATACAAATTCCCCTTAACATGATAGAGAGAAGATTTATACGGCTAACAGAGAAAGGGAGAGTGTGTGTGCGTTTCAAGCAATCTGAAAGTTTTGAACAGCTAAATCATTCAACTTCAATGAACTATTGAACACCCATTCCCAAAATCTCAAAAGTAAAAGTGAAATAAAGTCAACTCCGATGGTACACACTACTACACCTCTATTGTAATTTAAAAAACCTCCTATTTGTGACTGGAATCTTGCCTTCATGTCATTTTGTATGGCATTGGGATGAAAATGAAGACGATTAAGTCAGGTGATTTTATGTGAATACTTTTGCGTGCAGAATAAGTGGGTGTGTGTAATAGAAAGTTAGATTGCAATATAATCAGTGCAAACTGCATAGCTCTGGCTTTAAAAGGGAAGATGTTCAAATTGCAGCGAAGTTAATGGCAAAAGGCAATGACTTTATCTCCACTGGAAAGTTCATCGTTAAAGTGTGAAAAAAAAACATTTCTCAGAACAAACTGTTAGATGCTAAAAATGTGTTTAAGGAAAAACAGCCCAATTTAATTAAGCATTAATAAATTAAATTACTTTTTTCTTGTAAAAATAGATTAAAGTCATAGTTGTACACCAATTGTTCCCTTTATTAGATTTTAGTACTTTGCCTTTCGAAGCACTGATGGTTACTTTTCGGAAGGGATCAATTCTATTTAAAAGTTCAAAAGGATGAAACCATTTCATTAGTACAATCAAATTTGTTCCTAAATCAGATGTGATTTGGTCCATACCAATTTGGTACTAAATCAATATGCGTGGAAATAAACGTGACAATATGAAATTCTATTCGCTTTCTTATTTCAAAGCGTCTGACTTGCTAAAATATCATTCAATGGACAATAACATGCCCTACCTTCTCCCCCTTGGCACAGTAAATGAGAATTTTGGAATGCTATTTTTTCTATTATCAATAAAAAGAGCCTTGGGATAAGACAACATATCAAACAATTACTCAAGTAGTCTTCTTATATTTTTTATAAGAATAGAATAGATGTTGAAGTTAGGGTTAACTTTATTAATGAATTTCTATCTAATGCTTTCCGATAAAAATTAACGGAAATAATATTGTTGTTAAAATGAAAATGTAATAAATGTGGACTTTTGTTTTGTTTAAGAGGTAAAAAAGCACCATATTTTTCATTAATTTATGCAATTAGATCACCTAAAATGTATCGCAAATAAATCCCCAAATCAAAATTTTTTAAACCGGCATGCATCCCAACCTTGTTAATCTGGAGGCATGTCCAATTAACACAACAATCCTTTAAGCTTTTTTTGGGATTAGAATATTTAAGAAAAATTAATCTTCATTCTATAAAAAGCTGGTTACATTTGGACCAAGGAACGAATTAGGTGATAAGATAGAAGGTTCAAAACTACTGAAGAAACTGATAATTTCGAGAAATCTGTGTTGATGTAAAAATAAGTCATAAATTTAAAGATATATTCAGAAATTTATTAAATAATAAATTTGCATTAAAAATTTGGATTGTTGAAGACCGATAGACAGCTCAGTAACTCAACATATATTTCAATCATTCAGAGATAGAGTAAATATTTTGCGGGAAAACATTTTTTTATATTAAATCGAGCCTTGGTGAAAATACTTTTTCTCAAGGTATTAGATAGATAAACACGTTCTCAAAATAATAAAATTCATAATAGGTGCATAGTGAATTAAATATTTATGCATTCGACCACTAGTGTAATAAGTTGGAAAGCTCTGCTCTAATGATAAAAAATGATTTTAAATATATTCTAATAGGAAGTTAGTTAATTCAGATGAAAAAAGGCTGAATAATTAAAATCTTACATTTAAAAAGCAAATCCATTTTGAGAATTTGCGAATTCAAAATTCACAAAGTTCTAAGATCCGTCGTACCAATATATATTTAAGTGTGCAGAGATTTAAGGCTTACCGTCTACAAGAATAGGCGCTCCCCTCCTAGCGCTGTGCATTGGACAACACAAGTGTACAACAGTAATATTCGTACAAACAGATTGGCTAGCCTGAAGGCAATTGATTGGCCACATCAGCCAATAGGAAATTTTGCAGGAAAAAGCGTTAACTAAATCGGTTGCTTGAGTGGGGCAGAGAGGCAGATCGTTTAAGGGGGAATGTCTGAGCAACAATCAAACAGAACTCATATACCACGTGATTTCATGTTTTAATGCTGTTAGAGCAAATTTACAATGATGAATGTATGGCAAATGTAGGCACGTGCATAGTAGTGTATTAGTTAGGTTGGACACGAGAATCAATTAGGCTGCCCGAAATGTATTAAGCGTAGATCTGCATATTTTTCACGCTACTCAGTTAAAATGCAAATTGGCATATAAAGCATTTCTCCTTAATAAGGAGGGCTGAAAAAATAATTTACGGCGGCAGTTATTGGTCAATAATTTTGGTTTCCCTATTAACAACTTCAGATTTAAATATTTCTACGAGACATGTAAGGTCGCTGATTTTCAATGTATCAGATATCATCCCACTCATTGAATATTTTAATGAGATCACAAAGTCAGCTCAATCGCAATTGCGTTTTCAGAACGTCATTTAAACTTTTGACATTTTTTAAAGGAAGTACTAATATGAGTTGATTTGCAATCTCTCCTATTGATCAGAAGCTTTGAACGCTCACCGATAAGTATTATCCTAACCTCGAAGACTCGAATTCGGATTATTGATGTCCAAGAAAGCCTCCAATTCTTTTGTATACTCAGAGCAAAATAGTTTCATGACTTAAGCTTTTCAAATGTCATTTACCTATTCGCGAAAAAAATGATCTATTTATTATGAAATTGAAATATTCCATTAAATTATGAAAGGCAAGATTTTGCTAAGGTTAAGTAAAACTTTTGAAATCGTTGCGACTAAAAGCATAATAATTTGGACTTTGGGACCCTCAGTTATTACCTCGGCTGAAAATTCTTCCATCAAAAATAGTCTTGTTCAAGATCGTTGGAAAGGTTCCATAAATATTTTGTTTAAAAAAATAAACTTTACATACAGTTTGGGAAAATTTTCATACTGTGTAAGTCAATAAATTACTGATCAACGATTAATGCCTAACTTTCAAATTGCAGATGAATGAAGTTTTTTTGTATAAAAGCAAGGTTTAATTAAAAATAGAACGAATAAAATAGAAATAAATAGAATTAAAGAATGATTATAAGTGTATAATTAGATTTTGTACTTCTTTATAATAGGGTAATGGAATATAAACTTAATCAAAAATACAAATGGTGAATTAAACGGAATTACCTAAATTGCTCCCAATTCAGCATGGCATGAAGAATAATTTACACTTTTGGTCGTTAAAGTAATTGATTCTCAATAAGCTGAATGATAAAATAGCGAATTGAAATTAGAGATATTGCCGCACAAAAAAATCAGTGTTCATGGCCAACCAACGTTTAGGCAAGGAACAGTTTCCAAAATCGGTTTACTGACAATAATTAAGTAGCAAATATGAGTCAACTTCAACCAGCTTGGTTATTTTGGAAAATCGAAAAAATCATATGCATTAATATCTGTCTTAAAAGTGTTGGAAATTAAATTAACAATATAGTGAGAAATTTCGTTCGGAACCATGATCAACATTTGTTTATTTCAGTGTTCTCAATTACTCTTTCGATTTGTATTATTTGCATTTATAAATATGGATTTGAATTAGATGAACTTATTAAAATGGAGTGAAGCAAAAGCAAAAGGATTAATTCTAATCGCACACAAGGTTGACAATAAATTTACTCTAATCTCCTGTTAATTATTCAAAATCAAAGAACTCCAACTTGATCGAGTAAGCACAGTTTATTGCTGAGCCATTTTGATGAAATATTTCCATAGGCAGATATAACTTTTAAATTTTCGAAGACTTTCAAGCCCCCAATTATTGCCATTTTAACTTTGTGATGATGAACAAAGTACCCATTTTATGCATATCTTTAGCATTATAGTTAGAACCTCAAATCAAAGTACTCATTTGGTGCTCTATGCAATGCTTCGATTTAATTGAGTATTTATCAATTCTCGCAAAAAGTTGAATTCAGTCAATAAGTGAGAATCGGGAAAAGTTTTCTTCGTCAATGTGGTCTGGCGCATTTAAATATACTCTCATAGTAAGTTATTATGAACAATTTAATGTAGTAAGGCTCGGCCAATGTGATTTAAACAGCGTTGTCATGAATTCGCTAAGCAATCTATTGGAGGAAATCTGCCATCTGCATTGCGATAAA